ACACGGTATGTTTGCTTTAAAGAAAGTAAGTTGGTACCTGTCCACTCAGCACTGACGCTCCACTGCTTCCTTCATCTAAAGAGGCACTGATATAACAACACAATAACATCACAAGCTTTTGTTTGACATTCAAATACCATGAAGTTATGTTTTTGGGAATACAAAGAGATTAGGGTCAACAAATATTTGGAGACAGGGAGACAAACTGTGCATGACTCACACCGCCAGTCACGTTTTGGAAAAGTTGATGCGTTCTAGAACAAATCTGGCTGTTTTGTGTTACTCAAAAACAAATCTGTGTGCAAGACTCCTGTATATCTCACAGCTAAGTGTTACTGGAGAACACCACCGAGCTGCCCTGTGATTAACTTGAACAACACTTTGGAAGCTAGTAAATCATGTCTGCTGCAGTTTACTGGCCCCGGACATGTTGAGCATGTTCAGCTTGAAAAATGTGAGAAGCAGCTGCCCATAAAGTGTCACGGTCTGACTTTGAGTACAGTTTGGGTGAAGACCCGTGAGGTGATCTTTGTGTGCAAGTTTCACTAAATCCTAAGCAACACTGTTGATTAGTGATTAGTGCTCCCCATTAGTGAGGAGTAGTGATTCTTGTGGACTCTGCCCAGACTGAGGACTCTATCGCTTAAGCTGCCAGATAAGACAAGAAGTCATAAAGATTTTAATGCAACAACACACAATTTTAAAATTAGCTAAATAATTTAAATTTTAAAGAAATCGGTAGCACAGGAGTAAAGCAGGTAACCCTGGGAGCAATCCAAAAATGGAATAAATAATGAATTTTTAAAAATGCATTTTAAAAAAATTAAAAGTAAGGTCACAATAAGTCTTTGAATGATAATGCCAGAAAAAGGAGGTGTGTTTAGATTGAAAGATTTTAGCGCTTTCAGATTCTCTCAGGGACACCAGCAGAAAATTCCATCAGAAGTCCATAAAAGCTAAAGGTTTCCTCCCCAAATGGCAGATTGGCACACAAGGAACGAGAGGGCACACTGCTTCGCACGCTTGTAAGCATGTGAAACGTACTGGAGTGACACCATGAAGTACTTTAAAAACAAGCAGAGAGGATTTAAGAATCAACACAGAAACTGACAGGTGCAGGGGTGGGTATTAATGTGCTTTTTTAGCAGACGTGAGTTATTTTATCTACAAAAGTTACATCTCTCTAGTTTTCTTTGGAAGCTGAAGACGCACTAGCACAGAATTCACCTGCGAGCGGTCTGAGGTGTGAGTCTCGGTTTGCTGCCGGAGCTTCCAGAGTGACTGAGGAATCTGCAGACGCACACATACAGCAAACAGGCGAACACAAGAACTGTTCAAACAGGCTGAGATTACATTGCACATGCAGTGCATGAAATATTTTTTGACCATGTCACAAAAAAAACTCAAAACATCAGTACACTGAGTCACCAAACACTGAGTCACAGGAAGTGAGTGCAAAGAATCAAAAATAGCTGCACCTTTATTCTCGTAAGACGCCTGTATGTATGAAATGAATTTGAAAAAGCAAACTGTAAACCATGACAACAAAAATCGCTCTACCTGTGTGCCCGGCCAGTCACTCTCCTCCTGTGAATTAGACTTTCGGCTCTGCAAATTAAGGACCGTCGTCTAAGAAGCCACGCAAACAAGCAGTAGGCAAGTCGGGGGAACAGGAGAAGATCAGGAAATGGCAAAAGTGGAGAAGAAAAAGTCAGGTATAGCTGATATGGGTCTGACTTGCAAAGACAAAAGCGGTAAAGTGCAGTAGGTAGAGATGTAGCGTAAATGATTGGGCAGGAATGCTGACGCAGTGGATTTGTTCAATGAGTAAACCAAACTGTCCAGTTCACGGGAAATGTAGACTTCGATGCCTGTCTGTTTGCTCTGTCAAACCACTTACAGGACTATTACTTAAAATTTCTTTACAGCAGGGCATTAGTCACGGCACATTTTTTATGACTACTTTGCAAAACGCTGGCATCAAACTGATGAAGCTTAGGCAGTAATGCTGCTTTGTTTTAAAAGTCACGCTCAACGACTTTGGAAAGTTTTTAAAACATCTGTGTTTCTTTTAAAAGCTCATGATGTAAGCCTACTTTGTAACGCTTTCCTATACAGAAAATTGTTAGAAAGGAATAGATTAATGAGGCCTTTAAGCGGATTTAATAATGCTGTTGGTATTATAGGCTTGCAGGGAGAAATCGCTGTTAGGCTAACTGCAGAAAGATGTTACATGAACAACACGGATTTAAGCAGCTAAGTAAACGCTGATGTACCACACAGCTACTGTTATTTTACGAGAGTAGACATGAGGGCCACACACCTGTTCTGCTGCTCCTGCTGCAGAAGCTGGACAGCAATCTTCCTCAGATCAAGCACTTCCTTCAGCTCATCGTCCTCTTCCTCAGCTAGCTGCTCCTTATCAGAACTGGGAAAGGTGAGGAACAAAATTACTACCAAGTGATTAATTAGAGATATATCTAGGTGTGGGCACACATCCATTTATTTGCTTCTTCTTATCCAATTCAGCTTATCCCAGCTGCCACAGGGCAAAGTTTGCCCCCCCAAGACTGGTCATCAGCGTGTCGCAGGGCCAGCACATTTACAGACACGTGTGGAATTCCCAGTTAACCTATTATGTTTGTCTTTGGTTTCAGGCTGAGACATGCAGATGATTAACCTGCTGGCACCACTCAGCATCGAAGTCGCTGATTGATGTGAACTTCAATGCAATTCGGTAGAAAGCCATCATTCACAAGTAATGACAGTCTTTTACATTTTGCAGTGACTCATCAAACTGTGTCATCACCTAATGCGTCATTTCCAAAGAGATCTCCTTGGTAGTACATGCACAAAAAAAAAAAAAATACAAAATGTCTTTTTGTGTGTGCTAAACCGGCACTTGGCAAAACTCTGCCAAACCAAACACCAGTGTGGCCGCCACTTGCGATAAGAAACAAAGTGAAAGTTTTTTTTCTGTTCTCTCACGCCTCCCTCTCTCTTTCTGCGCATGGTTTCCTCTGGTTCCTGTAAATTGCTGGAGTGGCCCATCTGGTCTGTATTAACCACTCCTTGGCTCCAGTATAAATACCTAGGTCTTCCCACTCACTTCTCATTAGAGCGGGTGAGCAGTGTGGCAGTCACGCTAAGGCTAACCACTCCTGGTGTTTTCATATCTTTTATTGGATATTTCTGATTCCGCTTTTTCTTTCAACCCGCTAGCCTTGCGGCACACTGAGCCCAACATCTTCCCTGTCCACTCTCCATATGCCTAACCTCATCACCGGGTTAGGCATATGGTCTTCTTTGGATCTGATTTGGGTACCAATTAGCACAACCTGTGCCAGCTCACCCTCCAGCGAGCGGTTACGTTACCCTAAAAAGTCCAGGGAATGATGGAAAGTAACAGTATTGCACACACAAAAAAAAACTCACCCTGACTCCTCTTTCCAGCTGTCTTTATCTTTGCTTTGGTGAGACATGTTAAGAACTTTCTCCAGTTCCTGGAACGCACACAGGGACATCACGTCACGTCACAGCAACCAAGCACACAGAGATAGATATTCTCTCCCAACGTGTCTTCAAAAGATTTCCCACATTCTTCTCGGTTTTCTAGACTGATTGATGAATTCATACCTTTATACAAGACACATGACTGCTTTGCTGCCCATTGCACTCTGACAGAGCAGGATCCTCGTCCGGGTTGGGCTCTATAAAGTCATAGAGATCCTGATCTGATAGAGGGAGGAAGCATCCGCGTTCATCACATGAACTGTCACATTTTTAGGCACTTTATTCAACAACCCCGTGTCTCTGTTATTGCTTTCAAAGGGAATATGTGATACTTATTTTCGGTAACCTTTGCAAGAGTCCATTTTGGAGAGGAGTGACAGGGCGTCGGCACGGGCTGTCTCTGAAACTTGAGAGTGCAGGCTGACTGTGTCATCGTCTGAAGGCTGAAGGAGAGGAAAACAGAGGAATGGGAATCCAATCAATTCACCTGAATTATTACTGTTGCTATTTTGGGTATTTCAATGGAACAGGATTAAAAGGAAAAAAAACCACACCTGCAACACGTGACTGTAGCATTTGCCAAGTCACGTTTACAGCCTTACTAAGCAACTTTAATGAGCAGATATATTATGTATATATTCACTTCCTCCATTAATGATCTTTTGAGTTGTATTTGTAGTTCTTGGCATGTACCCAGACATCCTTCTGAAAGTATCCTTGTCTCTTATACTGGTTTGGGTCTCGCCGGCTATTCTCCTGTCACAACAGTAAGCTCACACAGTGTTTTGCAATGCTATAGCTTACATGCATAAGGGAGGCTACTCAAGAGGGAAGTCCTTTAAATATGTTATTCAGAGCTGCACATTTCCACCTTCTACTGTCACATCAGTATTTTTCCATTTGGATTTCTGCCGCCTTCACAAAGCTTCACGTGTTGCTGCTGACAACCAACCTCCCTGCACGCTTGCTTCCCATTATCCAACAGTGCCCTGCAGGTCACATCTTGCCAGTTTGTCTAGTCAGATATTTATGTTGTTTTACCTAGTGTGCTAACATTTACTTCTGTCTGTATTTTTTTTAAACAACAGCCCCTTTATTGTGGCAAATGTGCTCTGGCCAAGCTGCTTCTTTTCTGTGCACCTGCATGAGTGCTACTACCAAAGCCTAACGCTCTTTCCACTCCTTAGATTTAGTGTGATTAACAAGTCGACCACCTATATAAACAGCTCATATTATATCAAGAAAATGAAATATGGGTTACACTTTCATAGTTATATATCTCAATATGTGCTCTTTCTTAAGTAGTAAAATGTATTTATTTTCTCACACAAGAGAAAATAAAATTGTATTCTACTTTCTGGGGCGTGGCTCACCTATGAGTGACAACTCCCTAATATAAGTCTGTTTAAGCTTTCAAATCCACCCATCACTGATGAGATCTGGTTTCAGAAAAATATAGCTCAGCTCGAGGCTCCAAAACAGGAAGGCACAAGTCAGTGAGCGATGTCACATGTGTGACACTTGTTTGGACTCTCACCTCTGTTGTAGACAGCCTCTTGTCACCATTGTCACTACCAATTCCAGAGTCAGGACCGTGGTTCTTACTTGGGTAAAAATCTTCCATGCTGAAATTGTGCAAAATGATGTAAATTAGACAGCATTAAATGATTAGATAGCAGAAATGCAATGCATGGTGTTTTTAACAGAATAGAAGTGATAAATAGATGCATTATGATATAATGATATACTTGATGATGGTTGCAAGTAATTTAGTAAATCTGTCAGTACCTATCTGTTAGTGGTTGCGGTAGGCAACGCTTGCCAAGAGAGGGGAGGTCCAGGGTGTCTGGTTTCTTATCCATCCTACAAGCCTGCATGTTCAGGTACTTAAATATGTGCACTTTGCCTTTAAGACAAATCTGAAATAGATAAACACAAAATGTGTTCTTGAAGTCGCTCCAACCACTACAGACGGAACTACAAGGAAATCCACATGGGTGGATGGGTTAGATGTACAAAAACAACCACTATTTTTTTTTAAGAAAATCCATAAAGCTCCAATTGTGCTGTACATCTGTTCCCACATATGGGCAAAAGCACCACCATGAAGCAAATCCTCATACCTGTGCCGGCGGAGACTGCATAGGGTTGTTGTCTAGGATGATGTGCTGCAGTTGCCTCAGCTTCCTGTAGGCTGGAGGAATCTCTGTGATCTTATTGCAGGAGAAGTCAAGTCGGATGAGAGGCAGGTCAGCCAACTCTGAAAATACAAATAACAGGAAACTGATGTGCACTGCTTCGACTGCACAATCATCAGAAATTTGTATGTGCTGTTAGGGTAGGTCTTATAAAAATAGTTTAACAACATCATTACAACAGAGTCAAGTTCTTGTTTTTGGGCTCTTATCTTAACCCTGAAGCAACCACAATAATTCAGCAAATAAAAAAAGATCATATCTGATCATATCTGTATCTATAAATATGTTATTATTTATAATAAACAGCAATTTTTTCAATTGCTCTGTTTGTCATAATGTACTCTTTCCATCCATCTATGGCAGATGTTCTAATGTTAAGCTTTTCAAAGGTACTTTAATGTAAAAAGGGGTTAACTTCACTTGTGATTAAAATGCATTTCATCCTTCAAATTAATGCCAATATTTTGCTATGGTTTTTACTTTAAGGGCATGTAGAAATATGGGTAAAAGTATCTCTAACTGCTTTTAAGGGGATTTTTTTAGTTCATTGTGTTGAACACATGTAATTTTTTTTAAACAGAATTTTATAAGTATTATTAATCTGTTAGACCGGTTTATGTCCGACAATATTTTGACGGACCAGCCTTTAAGATGTCGTGGATATATACAACAAAATAAAACCAGTACCGGTACAGATTTATTCATAACACACGGGAGAAGACCCACGGAAACCAAGTCAACAATAAAAACTTAAAAAATAACGATAAAAAAATTATAAAAACCCTGAAAACCATAAATTTCACACCCGATCTTTAACTCTCCCAGCCTGGTACCAAAAGACCCACGGACTGGTACCGGTCCACGGCCCAGGGGTTGGGGACCGCTGTGTTAGACAACAGCACAGACTGCATGGATTCATGTGCCACACGTAGGAATTGCTCGAGTTGGGCTTGTCAATTCAGGTATCCTTAGTTATTCAGATATATATTACTATAATTTATTAAGTCGTCTTCTGTTATGTTTATCTGTGCCAACAGTAACAAGACAGGCAACACAAAACATAAAAAGCACAGTTGTATCTCTTGGCTGTGAAAGTCTGGCATAGATGCCAAAATGTCTCAGTGATGCGCAATCAATGCGTCTAAAGTGAAAAAAACACACAGAGAGCTTCATGAGTGATGGATTTACCATCAGGCAGTATGTGAAGACTATTCTTCCTGATGTTGAGTTCTCTCAAGGCTTGAAGCTTTCCCACTTGAGCAGGCAGCGCCTGGATCTCGTTTGAGCTCACGTCCTGAAATCCAACCCAGCAGGGGGAGGCAAAGAGTGAGAAACGGTATTATTAGCGTTCACTCTCTCACCTCTCACACACACATACATATAGAAAAATGGGAAATGGGTGCAGCAACTTACTGAGACATGCAAAGAACATAGAAATATAGCATAAAAGGCAAAGGCAGAGTTTGTACAAATCTATTGAGCTTGGTAGTAGGTAGTCTTTCAGGCCTGTCACATTTTCTTTTATCATCACTTTGTCCAGTTTTTAAGAACATACTGCACACCATGCTGAGATATGTCAAGTTTTTGGCTAATAGCTTATTGGGAATCACCTTGTTGGTGTAAAAATACAATTTTATGTCTATCGAACTGTGTTATCTGGCATTTTCTTATAGATTCAACTAAATGAATTGGAACAAATTATTGTGTTTTTGTGACAGGCTGCTAGTTAAAAAGTGCCTAAAGACACAATTTAAAATGGATTCTTTGCTAAGTTTTCTGTTATGTGTAGACAGAACACTGGTCCATCCCTTGTGTATGTGCCTCAAGCTCTGTACTGTATATAAAGGCTGATGTATACAAGCTGCTCACCAGTTCCATTAAGTCTTTGGCCTTGCCAATCTCTTCAGGGATGGACACAAGCTTGTTGTTGCTCACAAGCAAAACCTTCAGGGGAAGGTTGAAAAGGTATTTCGGCAACACTGTCAGAAGATTTCGGCTGCAGAGAAAGACAAAACAATGACCTGCATTTAAAATAGCATACAGAAGCGTGTAACACTGAGACGACAGTGACTGGGAATTGAGTTGTAGCAAAAGAGGAAACATCTCTTTCGCGTGAGCATTTTCACCCTGTAAGTAAGGTGAAAGGGGAACAGGCACTTTTTTGGCATATAACTGAATACCAACATTCACTCCTTTTGTATTCAATTAGAGTCTGAAACAATAATAAAAGTATAGTGTTAGCAATGGCTCACCTGATGTCCAGATAAGTCAGCATCTGCAGATTGATAATAGCTTCTGGGATGCACTTAATGCAGTTGTGGTAGAGGTTGAGTGACTCCAGGGGGGCAAACAGACACACTTCTGGGGGGATTTCTGTGAGACGATTCTTAGACAGATCTGCAAGGAGAAGAAACAGAATACTTGTGTGCATAAGCACACTGGTGACAAACTCATTATAACCCTTTAACATCAGTTATGTGTGCTTTTTGCACAAGAAGCCATTCCCAAAGCCTCAAAACACTGATCAATACATATCTGTGACAGAGCAGTAGGAAACGCAGCTCTTCATCGAACGTTGGTCTAATATTACACCAGAGTCTTGGGCTTTATAGGTTTGAGTGCTGCCGGCGGGGTCATACGTCAGTATTTCCAGCATCGATCTTGCTGGGAGTGGCACGTTAATGGCTTTAGATTTATATGAATGAGTGGAGAGTGTTGGAACTCATCCTACATCTGTCGTTTTTTTT